TGTGGTGGTTATTGCCGTTTGATTCTACCATGCCCAGGTTGGGCATTAATTTTCTGGAAATTGCATTGTGGCCAAAAGTGTTTATCCACTGACCACAAGGAGGAAATGCAGCAACAATGTGACGTCGTTGTGCACATATCGACAGTCATTGCAACAGACAATTAATTACCTGTAATTGATTCCGTAAGCAGTGGCATTTAATAATAAACTGAAACATTTACTCTACGGAATGTTGAAACGAGTTTTTGGAGAAGGGATAATCGATAGTACTTTCGGTTAGTTTGTTATCAACCACAATGGCTAGCCATAGAATTATTAACTTGAGGCGGAAGCAACAACAAAACGTTTTGAAAGATTCCAAAGTTCATTGGATACTAGTAATAAGGCAAAAGGGTAAGGAGACTTGGTTTAGTAGGTAACAACAAAAACAAAATGGAATCTGCACTAATAGAACCTACAGCATATGGTGTGGTAGATACATATCATAAAGGTATGAGGAGTGTGGAGGATGGATTATTATTACACTGGCTGCTACGCTCGAGCATACATACATTTCTGTTAGAAAATCCTTGGCAAGTTGATTTTAACTACCCTGCAGAAAACGGTGGAGGTATTGATGAACTGCGAGTGGTGCTACACTGATGAAAAAGTCAGTAGTATCAATGGTTGTAGGCGGCGAGTACTGCTTGACTACTCGCAAGTGCTGCACTGTTTTTTTTTATAATCGCATATATTGGTAACACTGTCAGCATCTGATTATGCTTATTTGTGATTTGTGTTTTGTGCATTTTGTGGACTTGCAAGTAAAATATTTGTTTTTTTAAGTGAAAAAGAAAAGAAAAAAAAAATATTGTTTTGAAATAAAAATAGCTGAATGAAAACAAAATCTGTCTTTCATTCTTTTAATTATTCGCAATGGCAATGCGAATAATTACGATCGTGCAGTATGTTCAGTTACTTTCTTTCAATGGCGACTGATGCAAAATTCAGCAGTCGCTCACCCCTCACAGAGCGCTGCAAAAGCGAGTACTGATTTTCACACGACAGTCCAGTGTAAAAGTCAGCAGCTCTTACCGTTAACGGGGAAATGAAGAGCGAGTGGTCGGTATCGCTTGGCGAGTACTCGAGCAGCACTGCGGTACTACTCTTTTTTTCTGAAGGGTATCTTCAATTACTCACACACATGTATGTGCATATCCACCACCTATGCATGTAGATCCCCTGTTGTAACAATCACAAGCATTCAAGGGGCCTACACATGATTCCCCAGGCTCTTTTTATTATTCCTATTTGTTTTTGAATTTTAAACACTTTTGCTTTAGGACAACTAGGTACCTATGAATGTATGTTTCGAGCAAAAAATCTTCTGCGTTTGTTTCAATAACAACGCCATATGTTTGCAACCATGGAGTGCCGTTCTCTTTTCTTTTTTTTTTTGGCAAATATTCCATTGGGCTTAGCAATTCAAATGAAACAGCTTTTACAAATTCATTCCAATACAACACAAAAACAGTGGCAACAACAAAAACAACACACACACACCCCCAGTTCGAACAAATTTTACTCGGAACATACAACCGAAAAAAAAAAAAACAATACGCAATCCCCTTAGGCTACCCAACTAGATACCTTCTCCCAGTGAACCAGGATTAGTAAATTGTCAGAAGACAAGTTAAAAGAAATTTAACTATAGACTGCACCTGAAATTGGGATATTCCTAGTAAAAAGGATGATGATGACGAAAATAGAGATAAACAACATTATGCAAGTGATAATCTAAAATAGGGTAAGTGTACCTAAGTTCGGCATGTCCCAGTAGTCGGCACTTTTTATTTTCAAACCCAAATAAATGATACTTTTATAACTAAATGTATTTTGTTTACTTCAAATATGTTGTCAGCTATCTTTGTGTACAATTTCGCTAAAAAAAAAGATGATTTATTCTAATAAAAATTAAATTTTTGTCTTTGAAGGTCCTCAACAATCCATATTCTTAAGAAAAGTACAATAAAGACGTCGATTCAGTTTAACTAAACAAAAATATTATATTTTCATGAATTAATTTATTATTATTATTAATTATTCTTACAAAAAAATTGGTATGCCGACTGTTGGGACATGCCATACCGACAATTGGCAAGTGGTGCCGACTACTGGCAAAAAAGCATTGTTTTAATAAAACTACAAATTTATGAAATTTAATAAAAAGTTATTAAAACTTTATTTATTATTGCAAAAACTATACAAAATTTCGAATCTGAATAAATTAACTTTGTAATAATTGAAAATTTCCATTCAGAATTGTGGTCGATTAAAAACGCGAAAATCCTAAAAGTGTCGACTACTGGTACACTTACCCTATTCTTCGAAAAAAAAAAAAACAAAAGTCAAAGAGTTTACCTCAACCCGATTGCAGTTCGTTGAGTATTTGGGTTTGTGTCGCAGTGGAAATCCAAATTTAGTTGCACTGAACAAAAATTTGATTATTCAAAGGAACTGTGGTTATTGGAGAATATTGGGATTCCGACTAATCTCAAAATAAATTTAATTGACATCATGTTCATATTTTTCTAGGTTTGCCGATAAACTACAGTTGTGAGGCCACAATTATGGTGTGGCCTATCTTTATACTTACGTAAATTCAATATGATTTCATTAAAATCATAATTATAAGAGAATTTTGTAACAAAGGATTTTGAAAAAAAGGAGTCCCTACCGATTTATTTTTTAATTGTTATTTTAGCGCTATTTAAAACAAGTTGAAGACCATCAGTCGGTTTTGCCAACAGATGTATACCCCCAGCTTTGGGTTATGATTATTCTAACTGTTGAACCTATATGGGGGAGTTTCTGTAGCAGCTAGACAATATTGTCCAATCCAATTCCAGACGAAAGGGCTGAAGCTAGAATCTTAAAATGTTGCATGAGGTTTAGTCTTGGTGTGTTGCCGCGTAATAAGGTTGTGTTTTTGGAAAGTCGTCCTAATCGGGTACAAAACAGGTACCAAATGTACATAAAAACTGAGTACTCTCTATTGGACAAACGGAATGAGTTAGAATTCTTAAATTTAGAATGAGACTCACTGATGAATTGCAGGTGCACCGAAAGTGTTTTTTTCCAAATTCAAACTTTATGGTTATGATAAGTTCTTAAATGGTACTAAATTTCTAAAATGGTACCATTTGGTATTTTATGAACGAACAGAGCTTAAAACTGAAAATTTGGTGCGCTAATCAAGATTGAAAAGTATGTATGTAAAATTTGGAAATGTGCACTAAGTGTGGGAACTGTGATAAATGGTACTGAATTTGGAACAATATGGTTTTGGGTGAACAGACAGAGCTTGAAATGAAAATTTGGTATTAGGGCCGCTGGTCATAGGACAGGGTGGGTTCGGGAATGTGATTTTAATTCTACGACAAGAACGGAATGGAACATGGGTTGAAGGGATAGAGATAAAATGCTGAAATTTGATATATAAATTGCTGATCTGTGTTTGGGATTAGCGCTGATTAGAAAACGCATCCTATATTTGTACGAAAAGTACTAAATGGTGCTATATTTTGTATTGGTATTCTTAAAATTTTTATATTGAGGTCTCTGTTGGTATCTATAGTTGTACAAAAAGTACTAAATAGTACTTAATTTGATCGTGGCTGAAGGAATAGAGCTAAAATCCTGAAATTTGATATGGATGTCACTGTTGGTGCGTCTAGTTGAGAGAAGGAGGTGATATTGGAAAAATACTATAATTGTATACAAATTGGTTATTGTGAGGAGCTGAAATCCCATAGACGAGCTGAAGGCCCAACGAGTCTATTTCCATTTAAGAGCTGGTATAAAGGTCAGGGAGTCTATTTCCATAAACGACCTGCTGGAAAGGCCAGGGTGTCCATTTCCATAAACGATCTGCTGGAACGGCCAGGGAGTATATTTCCATAGACGGGCTGCTGGAAAGGCCACGAAGTCTTTTTCCATAGACAAGCTGCTGAAAATTCAATGGAGTCTATTTCCATAGACAAGCATACTAATGTCTAAAGAGTGGTCTGATAATGTGTATTAAGATTAAATAAGCAATCTAGCTTTAACAGTCAAACCCGCTAGGTTTGGCTATGATCGGATTTGTGTATCTTAAGCACAAAACAAGATCTTGTTGTGAAATAAAATTTGAAGAAAATTATATATTGATTTTCCACTTTAATGGAGTTAAATTCGACCGAGTGCAACTTTTGATACAATCCGCTATTTTGAAAGTAGCACATTTAAAAATATGTCATTTATTGAGATCTATCGAAAACAATAAAAATGGCGAATATCGGGAGGAACCTTTATATTGGGGTTTAAATGATTATTTTCATGAGTTACAAACGGAATGACTAACTTAATATACCCTTGTTGGCGGGGGAGGACAGGTCAGTAGACCAATATTGTCCGTTTTGATACTTACCCATGGCCAGCCGAGGCAGCCATTTGAATGATATTATTTTCCATAAGTCGAAAGGATTGTACTTTAAAACAATTAAGAATTTTGAGAAAATATTCAGATGCGTCAATAGCAATAGCAAAAAAAAAGTTGTTTGGCGGACCCTTTTGAACAATCAATCTGTTTTTCCCACTCGTAAATGTTTACCGCACCATCACAACTAACTTAGGACCAAATTTGCATTAATGTTACACTAACTAAGATTCCGGGATAATTGTTAATAGTAGGTCGCACAAAATTCTCTAATTGTGGTTGAGTTCACGGAAATTTCTTCTCTTAAATGACTTAAGTAATATTAATTTATTAATATCTCTCTCATAAGTTCCAAAATTATTTTTCAGGTGTAGTAATAATAGTTTTTGATTGTTGTGCATTTCCCAAAAATGCATTAGTTTAATTAAATAAAATATTATTATAAATAATACACACATCTAGAATTTGTGCATAATCCTTTAGTTATCATTAAAATGGCCAAAGCAAAAAAATATATGTATTGGGATTATATTTAATATCTTACCATTTGAATTGAAATGTTCATTTGATATTCAATGAGAATGCATTGGAGCATGGCTTCCGATAATCTGCAAAGCAAAGACAAAAAAATAACAAAATTGATAAATATGGGATAATAACACATATTAAAAAGTTGTCATAAATATGTTGATAGGTGGTGAGTGCATGCTGGGGGTAAATATTTGTGAAATTGTGATCTCAGAAAAATTTAAATACAAAAAAACAAAAAAACTTTTTTTTTTAAATTCAATACGATTGAGTTTTATTTAAGTTGGATAAGCGACACATAGAACGTACAAGATTGTTTGAAACAATCTGACAAAAAAAATATATAAAGAACAGAAACAGTAATAGACACGTTTATTTATTAGTGTTTATGTGTTTTATGATTAGACGCTTAAAATTCTACATTAGGTTTAGTGACAGCCATCGATACTCAGACAAAAAAACGTCTGAAACTAGGGGTCGTCAAATAAGGATTACGAAGATTTCAAAATGTATGTTACATATTTGCTACATATGAAAAACTAATATTAATTCGGTTATGTACTGCATTTATTAAAAACAATTGCTAAATGACTGAAAAAATCCTCGGTCGCTCTTAGGACTGCAAAACTATTATTTGGAAAATTTAATGCATTTCTCTTTGATTTGTTCTGTCCATGATCAACAACATTTTTTGCAAAAAAAAAAAAAAATCAAAATAAATAAATAAAAAAAATATATATACATATATATATTTTACGGTTTATTTCAGGAACTAAGCTGGACAAGTGAAAGTGCACTCAGAAGTTACCAATGAATTTCATGATTGTGTTGATGTTACGAAATCGAAACAAGGAGGAGATTCTACAAATGTGTGATAGATGAGTACAAAAAGAAAATAATAATAGAGTTAGAGTTTAGGTCTGGGCAGAAGCCTACCAATTTAGACGGTCATCGAAACATATTTACCGAGTAAAATAAGCCTTTTATGTCAAAAAATACGAATATTTTTGATACCGGCGAAATCACAAATACATCAATAGGTCACTTCTGGCCATTACAGTGTTGCTGATAGCCAAAATAGGTAAATCTATTTGTAAAAGAAGTTCTTATAAGTTAAGAACCGCACAATAATATTTTTTTTTTTTTTTTCAAATTTTGTCTTATTTTTATAACATGCAATTTTTTATATTTGACTTACACTTTTGAATTGTATATTTTGTATTTTTTTAACACCCTACAACGTTATGTGTTGAGGATATTATATTCAGGTCGCAATTGTTGTCCGAGCCTCATGAAATTTTGCAAGGTGGTAGTGTTAGGTTCAGAATTAAAGGCTATTGTTTTTGAATATGTACATTTAGGGGTTCAAATGGACCACAAAAATTAAAATTTTCCTAAATTTGCAGTCGCCTTACAGGTCTCAATTTAAAACCAATCGGCACGGAATTTCATTGAAAAGAGGTTTAATTCAGGTATGAACTCTAGCATTTTATATGACCATCGAATTATATTTAGCTGTAAAGTGGATCACAACCGTCGTGTGAAATTAATTAGAATACCTAACAACACTAGGGAGTGAGTAAATATTGGATAACATCTGGGTTGGGCTATATGGCATCGTTTCAAAAACAAAATCATTCAAAATGGATTTGGACATAAGGGGCCTTCCAACATATTGTAGTGTTGTAGGGTATCACATGGTCGGCCAGACACGACTATATGCTTTGCATACTAAACTAAACGTTACTTCTTCACTAAAAAGTGTACAATGTACCAAATCGAGGATATTAAATCAAAAATCAAATTACATTTCCCATAAAAAATATTGAAATTTTTTTTAAATAATTCATTCTCCGAACTTTAAGCCCCAAATGTCAAATTACTGCGAATGCGGTACTGATTTCGAAACTTTAAAAATACCAAAGAAAAGGAGGGAGCTATACTAACCACAACATAGACAGGCCTTAAATATGTTCTTTAAACTGTTCACTGAGAATCCGTAATGTCATACAGCAGCAGATTTGATTGGTAATTGGGATTAAAATCTTAAAAAAAAACAAATTAAGAATACCAAATACAAAAAAAAAACATAATAATGAATCAACCTTCACCAACTTTTACAATTTTACTCAACCGATTTCAAGAATTACAATTTTAACCTCTTGTGGAGAAGGCACTAGAAAGAGTGGACCGATAGGTTCCATTTTCTCGTCAGATCAGATTGGCTAAGAGGGAAGAAACTAGAACTACCCGTTCTTAATACCAGATCTTGTGTTGGTGGACATATTAAGATTTGCGAAATTTGAAGGCAATCCGACTCTTATTTCACATTTCATAAGAGTTATAATTATTCAAAATGTTGACCTTTTGTGGGGGAGGTACTTGAAGGAGTGGGTCGATATTATCCCTTTTCGATCCTGACCAGGCATTGATAAACATATTACGATTTGCGAATCATCCTTTCTCTTTCCGATAGGTAACTTAATTTCTTTGAAAATTTCGACCTTTTGTGGGGGAGGTATCGGAAGGAGTGGACCGATGTTACCTATCTCCGAACTCGATCTTAGTTGATAATAATATGACAATGTACAAAGTTTCGATAAAATCGTATACTCCCCTCGCGATTAATCGTGAGCACCAGTCAGACAGACTTACGGAACCGTTATTTCGATTAGGCACGTTATGGCCGTATCAAATGATATATACCCTCTGTAGTCATACGGCTGTGGGTATAAACAAGTTCATTCAACATTTTTTTTATTCTTCGAGCTATTCATGTTCCGTAGATTCCGTGGAATATCAAAAAATCTCACCTTAACTCAGGACGTATTAAAAGTTTCACGTTTCTAACCTGTGTGACATTTTATAATTTTCATAAAATTGAAGCTCGCATATTCGAAGATACCGCCTTTACATCATCAAGGACCCGCATATCAAATTTTAGAATTCTAGTTAGATCTTTTGCACTTTCAGTACTATCAGCACCTTTTCTGTACCAAAATGGCCATTTTTTCAAATTGAATCTCGCAAAACATCTTATCATAATTAGACAAAATATGTTTCAAATTTCATATTTTGAGCTCTAATTGTAAAAGGTAATTGAGTACTTAATTTTAGTAACATTGGGAATTGTAAAGATTCTAGCGCCAACAGTCAAGTTAAAAAATGTTGGCTCAAAAACTATATTTAAGTACTTTTTGGTAAGTATTTAGTACCATTTGGTGTTTAATACTTTGTCGGAAAGCATTCCACATATACTATAGTTAATAACCCCTCCACCCCACAAGTGATCTTATGTTAAATTGTAAAATTCTTGCCCTTCTTCTCCATAACATTTAGAATATCTTGGTGCAAAAATGTACAATTTGATTTTTCACAACAATTTATTTTTCATTGTCCGACAAAGCTAAACATCAGATTCAGAGTTACCATTTTGTACGATTCATACACTTAAATACGCATTTTCAAAATAACCTTCTTATATCACGTATATTTCGCAACCATTAAATCCAGTATTGATTTTCAAAATTTTAGCCCCATCCGTTATGAAACACCATGGTACAGAATTAGAATTTCCTCAATTTCCTTCCTTCATTCCACCAGCGACCCTTCATTCCAAAATTTCCCACTTAAATAATAATTTACTACTGTATCACATCGTGGTTGCTTCAAACGATAGAAAAAGTATTTTATACATATTAGTACTTTTCGTACACCTTTGGTACGAATTTCTATATCTTTCCGAACATCTTTTTGTTTTTCACAGACATGAATATATACAAAAATTCAGAGACATAACTCTTTCCAATCGCTCTACACGAATGGTAAAATACAGCGTCTTTTAGTACGAATTTCTAAAATCACATCAAAAGAAATATTAGGTCCGCAGAATTTTTGGTACTTAAAATGGGCCATATAGGTCCACGTTTTGGCATATAGTCCCAAATAACTGTACCTCCAGATATTCGGTATTTTGTGTCCCACCAGAATGACTTAAAATTCGGTATTTGGAGTTCGTAATGGATACTACCTCCTATGACAGAAAATTGCCTACACAGGTCCTTGTCTTCGTTTAGCCCCGATGTTGGGTATTTTGCTGATTTTTGCAATAGATAATTGGCTACACGATTTCGTTCAAGTTCCCTTTTAAAAAATTCGAACCGACCGCATTTTTTACTTGTATTATTATAGCTTCGAGTTTTTTTCGTATCTTCAGGATTTTCCTACATTAAACCATGTTTTGTCTGCAATTGTAGCCCGAAATAACAGTTATTTTGTTTTTTTTTTTTTTAATTTTTACATCTCTAGTAATTAGTTGGTTGTACAAACTTAACAATAAAACGTATGACTCCCCCCCTGAGGGATACCAATGTGGAATAATTTCTAAGAAATTTGAAACATCAACAATATGTTACCGAACAACACAGCATCAACGGCAAAAAAGACCAACTTTGATTCATTGCTATTGTTCTGAACAAAAATGTTTTCCGAAAAAAAACAAATGTTGAATGATAAAATAGACAAACTACAGTTAAGCTCTAATTAAAAACTGAAACTAAGTTTACATATGTCGCTGATTGGACATCTGATGTCTGACTTGCGGCTTGAAGGCATTGCAAGTCGGCCACACGAACAAGGACATTTTCGATGTTTGATGTCGTTGCCACACATGAAGACAATGGCAGGTTTAGTTGTATGTCTGTCTGCCTGCCTGCCTAACTGACTGACTGTATACACGAAAACTTTTCCAGAAGAAGAAGGAGGAGAAGAAGACAAAAGAAAAACAAAACTAATGTTTTCGAACAAATAACTTTTTTAGTTTTTTTATTTTATTTTTTGGAAAATTCCAAGCAAACCCAACAATTCTAAACAAGCTAAAGTTCGAAATAGTTTCGGGCAGCAGCAAAGATGACTGGCTACACGAATGAATGGCTGGTATTAAACTAAAAGTTAAAGTTGAAGAGTTGAATTCAACTGAAGGATAGTAGTCCTGGCAAGTGGATAGTAAAAGATAAAACTATTGTTTTATTGGCAAGAAAGGCAGCGGAGAGAGAAGGACAGCGAGAAAATAGTTCTCTCA